GGCTTTCAGTACTAATGAATAGATCTGTAGGGGAAATCTGGGCAGTAGGCAAATGATTATAAGTAAGTAATTAAGTTGAAGTGTGCACCAGATAAGACCTTCTGGGTTGCTTTGACTTTATTGGGTCTAGATGAGAAGCCTTCCCTGAGAAGAGACAGCTCAGGGAACCAACAAGGGAAACTCAGACCAGGTAGGAAAAAGGAAGAGTCTGGAACTAAAGAACAGTCACCTCACAGTAAACTCAGATAACGAACCTTGAGAAATGAATAGCTTGAGGAACTGAGATGAAAAGAGATATGACAATTAAATACAAAGCATGATTCTGGATGAAATTAAAAACAGCTATAAAGGATTATGGAGTCAGCTGAGGAAACTGGAATATGGACAACAGATTAAACAAGAGTACTATATCAATATCAACTTCTTGATTTTGATCTTTGTACTGTGGTTATGTAAGAGATTGTCCTTGTTCTTAGGAAAGGGGCTTCATATCTGCAGTAAAGGGTATATGGGAGTTCTTTATACTATTCTTTCAACTTTTATTTAAGTTTGAAATCATATCAAAATTTAAAATTACTATAAAAATTAGTAGCCTGTATTCACTGGCTAGATGAGGTTCCAAATCTGTTCTAAGTTGTGTTCTGTGTTTATTACATGCATCTCTTTATAGTTTATATCCTCATAATAAGGACATACTAGAAGGAACATGGTTTCAGTTTAAGTCAAATAGCCTTGATTGAGATTGTGATGGAAATTCTAATAGGAGAGAGATCAGGGACAGGATTATATTCCTCAAGTCATAGTTGCAAACTGTCAGCTGGTGGCAGCAAAGGCAGAGGAACAGCAAGCCCTATCTAATGGCGAACAGCACAAACATGGAGCCACACACAAACGGGTTAGAAGCCTGATAGACTTGGGCAAATTGCCTGAGTAAATATCTATGGTGTCTTCCTGCCCTAAAGACCAGTCTAATCTGAGCTGGGATAGGACTCCAGGTTTTCCACACCAGGGTCTACTCTAAAGAGAGTAGGTCTGGAGTAGTTTTAGAGGTCTCATATAACTAAGGCCAATCCAGAGCAGAACCAAACTGACACCCTTCCTACCTCAACCCTCACGATAGTGCCAGAAGAGGCTCAGCTTATGGGCTATATAGAAATAATTTAAGACTCTATTTTTCAATACGGGTGCTATTGCCAGTTTGAATGAGACAACTCTTAGTTCTGGGGAGTATCTTACCTTATGAGCCATCTCCAATGGCTCACCACCTTTGATTAGTATGCCATTTTGAGCGCCTACTCCTGTACCCACCATCACGGCAGTTGGAGTGGCCAATCCCAGTGAACAGGGGCATGCAATGCACAGAACTGTGATTGAGGCTTGGAAAGCAAAGCGTATTATTGTTTCTGTTCGGGAGATACTTCTGTTGTAGCCCTTGAGAAGAAACGCATGAATTTTGATTACTGATTCAGAGCTGGATAAAACAAAAGGAACAAAGCTTAACTCTAATTAAATAAAACCACAATTTTGGAGTCACACATAATCCTGCTTAGCTACCAACATATGTTTTAGCTATTAGTAAGAAAACACTTTTTTTCTTTTATGAATATAAGATATTGTTGACATAACTGGTAAACAAGTTACAGTCCTAAAATCAAGATTTCAATTTTGCTGATTCCAGAGTTACAAACTATGGAGTGAATATAAGGAACATAATAAAAGTCAACTCCCCCCCCATATTGAGAGAATAAGTGTTTTATTAGGGACTTTCAAATATAGCTGCAAACATAGGACCCAATTCTCAACATATTTGATCCTGAACAAAAATAATTCTGTACTTCTGTATACTAACACCATAAAGCTGTCTTTCACACTATTCTTTAAAGACAATGAAAAAAATCACCCAGTTTGCAAAGGTTGCTTCACCACATTTCAATAAAATTCTTTTGGACAAAACAACGTGAACTGAGTATATCTGGTAGTATAGCTCTTAGTGACGCTTAGTATTTGCTTCTGTGGTTAAGTATGATCAATAGTATTAAGAGAAATCTCCTAAGGACTCCCTGAACTCATGAGAAAAATTCCTGAAGGAGACACATTCTAAAATACTTCCCAGAAATCCTCTTGTTCAATGAGTACTCAACCAATATGAATCATTTAAAGAAACTTTGTAATATTATACTAATGACCATATCATGGAATAGATACATAGATGTTATGATTCTACCTGTTCTTTAATTGAAGGGAAAAACAGCATGAAACAATGTAGAGCATGGCATTTTTAAAAGAAAGAAACACAACAAAGTAAGACTTTCTTAGTAATAATGGTTTTACAGTGCTATGTTCTTACTAAGTTCTCAAATACTTAAACTAAGTGATCATCTAAGAGTTATATATATAGAGAGAGACAGAGTTGGAAGGGATTTTCATAGACATCTAAGCTTATGCTTTCATATATGTCATAAGTGTATGTTTTCACCTACACTAATTCCAACCCTGAAATTTAGGTATTATTATCACTATATTACAGATGACAAAACTGAAGATAAGAGAAATTCAGTGACTTAAAGGTTTTATCTCTAACATGAGGTACAGTCCAGGTCTACTTTACCAGTTTATGACACCATACGTTAGAGAACATCATAGAACTAGAGAAAAGCAGACACTAATACTATATTTATAAAGCACTTAATAAATTACAAAGTGTGTCTAATATATATCATCTTATCTAACTTTTACAACTGCAAGTTATGTTGGATGAGCATTATTAAAATCTCACATGAGAGGTGAGGAAACCGAAACTCAAAGAGAAATCAAGTTGACCTAAGATCACACTGATGGTATGTGGCAGAGCTGAGATCCCAAGATTTTCCTCAATATATCCATTGTCCTTTATGAATGCAAAATCATGCTGGGACTCAGACTAAGTATAAAATGTGAAAGGTCACTATAGGCATACCTCGGAGATATTGTGGGTTCAGTTCCAGACCACCGAAATAAAGTGAGTCACAAGAATTCTTTGGTTTCCCAAGAATGTAAAAGTTATGTTTACACTATACCATAGTCTACTAAATGTGCAACATCATTATGTCTCAAGAAACATGTACATACCTTAATTAAAAAATAATGCTGTTGGAAAAATGGCGTCGATAGACTTGCTCGACGCAGGGTTGCCACAAACCTTCAATTTGTAAAAAACACAATATCTGCAAAGCACGATAAAGCAAAGTGCAATAAAACGAGGTATGCCTGTACTTGCTTTTGGAAAATCACAAGTCATAATGAAAAAAACCTTTTATGTTTTCTTTTATATTTACAGAAATGCAAATGTTATTCTTAACACCCTCTCACTCCAGTCTGTTAAAGATACCAGTAATTATTAGTTATTTTCCAATTAATTACTTATGCAAAAGATTCACACAGTTTTACATATGAAAAAAGGTGTTATAAGTCACTCACAGGAAAGTAGGTTTCCACGATTTCAAAATTCAGAAATCCAATTATAATCCAAACCAAAAGGGTAGCAATGGAAACAATGACAATAAAAGGAACAAAGTAGCCACTGAGTTTGTCTGCAAACTGCTGGATAGGAGCCTAGAATTAAAAAATAATAATAATGATATGTATATCAAAGTCTCCTTTTTTGATAATGAATAAGAGCATATTTAGTATTGAGCACAAATATTTTAATAAAGTCCATATTAATACAGCTAGAATTAATCAAAGGAACACATAAAAACTAGATCAAGATTTATACTGAGTGGGTTTTCATGAAAATACTTTGTTTCTCCTAGGGAGTTAATTTACCTTTGATGTTTGTGCCTCCTCTACAAGTCTGACAATTTGAGAAAGGGTTGTGTCTGCTCCAACATGGGTTGCACGGATAAGGAGTGACCCATTCTGGTTAATGGAACCAGCAATCACTGTGCTGCCAGACTTCTTAGCCACAGGCATTGCCTCCCCTATGTAAGGAGTAAAGATACATTTAGGGAGCATAAATAAATACTATCTTGAAATATACAGTTATTTGTCAATTGTCAATATCTAGAAAGGAGATTCTTCCTTCTTGAAATAGAATCTGGACAAATGCCTAGGTGAAGGTTGTCCTCTCTTTTTCCTTATGTCAGTTCTGGGCCAAACCCAGGGATATATATCTTAAACTGGAAAAACCTAATGTGTTAACTCTTATTGGCAGGTACTTTTGGACTTCCACCCTAGTCTTAGATCATTGCTTCTCAACCTGTTCCCAAGGAGCATTTATAAATGTAGGAGAGAGTTCTTGCTTGTAATAACTACAGGTGGAGCATGGGGTACTGCTACTGCAACTTAGTAGGCCAGGTTCATGGATATTAAATGCACCATGTGTAGGATAGTCAGTCAGAACTAAGAACTGTCCCATCCAAACTAGCAATAGCACCCCTACTGAGAAACACAGAATCCTAAATTATTTCCACACAATTCATAAACTGAGCCACTATCTTAAGGACTGAGGTAGGAAAGGTGTTATTTTGGTTCTGCTCTGTATTGGCCTTAGTTATCTAAGATCTCTAAAACTACTCCAGGCTTATTCTCTTTAGAGCTGACCCTGACGTGGAAAACCTGGAGTCCTATCCCAGCTCAGACTAGACCGGTCTTTAGGGCAGGAAGACCCAATAGGTATTTGCTCAGAAAAATTTGCCAAAGTCTACTGGGCTCTACAGCACCATGTGACAACTTCCTCTGGTTATACATTCTACTAATTAACAATCCTCAGGGAAAAGAGCCTTCAGTAGCATAAATAAAACCACAAAGAAAGTCTGCAGAAACTGATTTAATACATTCTTAAAAAAACTCATATTCTCTTCTCTCATTATTTACTTGGTCCACAGTTTCTACAAAAAGCTCTTCACCTTTCATGTCTATTTTTTTAACATCTTTATTGGAGTATAATTGCTTTACAGTGTTGTGTTAGTTTCTGCTGTATAACAAAATGAATCAGCTATAAGCACATGTATATCCCCATATTCCCTCCCTCTTGCATCTCCCTCCCACCCTCCTTATCCCACATCTCTAGGTGCTCACAAACCACCAAGCTGATCTCCCTGTGCTATGCGGCTGCTTCCCACTAGCTATCTATTTTACGTTTGATAGTGTGTATATGTCCATGCCACTCTCTCACTTTGTCACAGCTTACCCTTCCCCCTCCCCATATCCTCAAGTCCATTCTCTAGTAGGTCTGTGTCTTTATTCCCATCTTACCCCTAGGTTCTTCATGACCTTTGCTTTTTTCTTAGATTTCATATATGTGTGTTAGCATACGGTATTTGTTTTTCTCTTTCTGACTTACTTCACTCTGTATGACAGACTCTAGGTCCATCCACCTCACTACAAATAACTCAATTTTGTTTCTTTTTATGGCTGAGTAATATTCCATTGTATATATGTGCCACATCTTCTTTATCCATTCATCTGATGATGGACACTTAGGTTGCTTCCATGTCCTGGCTATTGTAAATAGAGCTGCAATGAACATATTGGTACATGGCTCTTTTTGAATTATGGTTTTCTCAGGGTATATGCCCAGTAGTGGGATTTCTGGGTCGTATGGTACTTCTATTTGTATTTTTTAAAGAAACCTCCATACTGTTCTCCATAGTGGCTGTATCAATTTACATTCCCACCAACAGTGCAAGAGTGTTCCCTTTTTCCCACACCCTCTCCAGCATTTATTGTTTGTAGATTTTTTGATGATGGCCATTCTGACTGGTGTGAGATGATATCTCATTTTAGTTTCGATCAGCAATTCTCTAATGATTAGTGATGTTGAGTATCCTTTCATGTGTTTGTTGGCAATCTGTATATCTTCTTTAGAGAAATGTCTATTTAGGTTTTCTGCCCATTTTTGGATTGGGTTCTTTGTTTTTTTGATATTGAACTGCTTGTATATTTTGGAGATTAATCCTTTGTCAGTTGCTTCGTTGCAAATATTTTCTTCCATTCTGAGGGTTGTCTTTTCGTCTTGTTTATGGTTTCCTTTGCTGTGCAAAAGCTTTTAAGTTTCATTAGGTCCCATTTTTAAATTTTTGTTTTTATTTCCATTTCTCTAGGAGGTGGGTCAAAAAGGATCTTGATGTGATTTATGTGACAGAGTGTTCTATGTTTTTCTCTAAGAGTTTAATAGTGTCTGGCCTTACATTTAGGTCTTTAATCCATTTTCAGTTTATTTTTTGTGTATGGTGTTAGGGAATGTTGTAATTCATTCTTTTACATGTAGCTGTCCAGTTTTCTCAGCACCACTTATTGAAGAGGCTGTCCTTTCTCCATTGTATATTCTTGCATCCTTTATCAAAGATAAGGTGACCATAGGTGTGTGGGTTTATATCTGGGATTTCTATCCTGTTCCACTGATCTATATTTCTGTTTTTGAGCCAGTACCATACTGTCTTGATTCCTGTAGCTTTGTAACATAGTCTGAAGTCCGGGAGCCTGATTCCTCCAGCTCCGTTTTTCTTTCTCAAGATTGTTTTGGCTATTCAGGGTCTTTTGTGTGTCTATAAAAATTGTGCAATTTTTTTCTTCTAGTTCTGTGAAAAATTTCATTGGTAGTTTGATAGTGATTACACTGAATCTGTTGATTGCTTTGGGTAGTATAGTCATTTTCACAATGTTGATTCTTCCTATCCAAGAACACAGTATATCTCTCCATATGTTTGTATCATCTTTAATTTCTTTAATCAGTATCTCATAGTTTTCTGTATACAGGTCTTTTGTCTCCTTAGGTAGGTTTATTCCTGGTATGTTATTCTCTTTGTTGCAATGGTAAATGGGAGTGTTTCCTTAACTTCTCTTTCAGATTTTTCATCATTAGTGTATAGGAATGCAAGAGATTTCTGTGCATTAATTTTGTATCATGCTACTCTACCAAATTCACTGATTAGCTCTAGTAGTTTTCTGGTAGCATCTTTAGGGTTCCCTACATAGAGTCTCATGTCATCAGCAAACAGTGACAGTTTTACTTCTTTTCCAATTTATATTTCTTTTATTTCTTTTTCTTCTCTGATTGCCATGGCTAAAACTTCCAAAACTATGTTGAATAATAGTGGTGAGAGTGGGCAACTTTTTCTTGTTCCTATCTTAGGAGTAATGGTTTCAGTTTTTCACAACTGAGAATGATGTTGGCTGTGGGTTTGTCATATATGGCCTTTATTATATTGAGGTAGGTTCCCTATATGCCTAATTTCTGGAGAGTTTCTATCATAAACGGGTGTTGAATCTTGTCAAAAGTTTTTTCTGCATCTATTTAGATGATCATATGGTTTTTCTCCTTCAATTTGTTAATATGGTGTATCACAATGATTGATATGCATATATTGAAGAATCCTTGCATTCCTGGGATAAACCCCACTTGATCATGGTGTATGATCCTTTTAATGTGCAGTTGGATTCTGTTTGCTAGTATTTTGTTGAGGATTTTTGCATCTATGTTCATCAGCGATATCGGGCTGTAGTTTCTTTTGTGACATCTTTGTCTGGTTTTGCTATCAGGGTGACGGTGGCCTCATAGAATGAGTTTGAGAGTCTTCCTCCCTCTGTTGTATTTTGGAAGAGTTTGAGAAGGAAAGGTGTTAGCTCTTCCCTAAATGCTTGATAGAATTCACCTGTGAAGGCACCAGGCCCTGGGCTTTTGCTTGTTGGAAGATTTTTAATCATAGTGTCAGTTTCAGTGCTTGCGATGGGTCTGTTTATATTTTCTGCTTCTTCCTGGTTCAGTGTCAGAATGTTGTGCTTTTCTAAGAATGTGTCCATTTCTTCCAGGGTGCCCATTTTATTGGCATAAAGGTGCTTGTGGTAATCTCTCATTATCCACTGTATTTCTGCAGTGTCAGTTATTACTTCTCCTTTTTCATTTCTAATTCTGTTGATTTGAGTCTTCCCCCTTTTTTTCTTGATGAGTCTGGCTAATGGTTTATCAATTTTGTTTATCTTCTCAAAGAACCAGCTTTTAGTTTTACTGATCTTTGCTACTGTTTCCTTCATTTCTTTTTCATTTATTTCTGATCTGATATTTAAGATTTATTTCCTTCTACTAACTTTCAGGGTTTTTTTGTTCTTCTTTCTCTAATTGCTTTAGATGTAAGGTTAGTTTGTTTATTCGAGATTTTTTTTTTGAGGTAGGACTGTATTGCTATAAACTTCACTCTTAGAACTGCTTTTGCTGCATCCCATAGATTTTGGGTTGTTGTGTTTTCATTGTTATTTGTTTCCAGGTATTTTTTGATTTCCTCTTTGATTTCTTCAGTGATCTCTTAGTTATTTACTAGTGTATTATTTAGCCTCCATGTGTTTGTATTTTTTACAGTTTTTTCCCTGTAATTGATATCTAGTCTCACAGCACTGTGGTCAGAAAAGATACTTGATACGATTTCAATTTTCTTCAATTTCCCAAGGCTTGATTTGTTACCCAAGATATGATCTATCCTGGAGAATGTTCCATGAGCACTTGAGAAGAAAGTGAATTCTGTTGTCTTTGGATGGAATGTCCTATAAATATCAATTAAGTCCATCTTGTTTAATGTATCATTTAAAGCTTGTGTTTCCTTATTTATTTTCATTTTGGATGATGTGTCCATTGGTGAAAGTGGGGTGTTGAAGTCCGCTACTATAATTATGTTACTGTCAATTTCCCCTTTTATGGCTGTTAGCATTTGCCTTATGCATTGAGGTGCTCCTATGTTGGATGCATAAATATTTACAATTGTTATCTTTCTTCTTGGATTGATCCCTTGATCATTATGTAGTGTCCTTCTTTGTCTCTTGTAATAGTCTTTATTTTAAAGTCTATTTTGTCTTATATGAGAATTGCTACTCCAGCTTTCTTTTGATTTCTATTTGCATGGAATATCTTTTTCCATCCCCTCACTTTCAGTCTGTATGTGTCCCTAGGTCTGAAGTGGGTCTCTTGTAGACAGCATATATATGGGTCCTGTTTTTGTATCCATTCAGCCAGTCTATGTCTTTTGGTTGGTGCATTTAATCCATTTACATTTAAGGTAATTATTGATATGTATGTTCCTATTCCCATTTTCTTAATTGTTTTGGGTTTGTTTTTGTAGGTCTTTTCCTTTCCTTCTTTTGCCTGCCTAGAGAAGTTCCTTTAGCATTTGTTGTAAAGCTGGTTTGGTGGTGCTGAATTCTCTGAACTTTTGCTTATGTGTAAAGGTTTTAATTAATCCATCAAAACTGAATGAGGGGGCTTCCCTGGTGGCACAGTGGTTTGAGAGTCTGTCTGCCGATGCAGGGGACACTTCGTGCCCCAGTCCAGGAAGATCCCACATGCCGCAGAGCGGCTGGGCCCGTGAGCCATGGTCGCTGAGCCTGTGTGTCCAGAGCCTGTGCTCTGCAACAGGAGAGGCCACAACAGTGAGAGGCCTGTGTACCGCAAAAAAAAAAAGAAAAAAAAAATGAATGAGATATTCACTGGGTAGAGTAATCTTTGTTGTAGTTTTTTCCCTTTCATCACTTTGAATATGTCCTGCCACTCCCTTGTGGCTTGCAGAGTTTCTGCCAAAAAATCAGCTCTAAACCTTATGGGGATTCCCTTATATGTTATTTGTTGCTTTTTCCTTGCTGCTTTTAACATTTTTCTTTGTATTTAATTTTTGATAGTTATTTAATGTGTCTCAGCATGTTTCTCTTTGTGTTTATCCTGCATGGTACTCTCTGTGCTTCCTGGACTTGATTGACTATTTCCTTTCCCATGTTAGGGAAGTTTTCGACTATAATCTCTTCAAATATTTTCTCAGATCCTTTCTTTATCTCTTCTTCTTCAGGGACCCCTATAATCCAAATGTTAGTGCATTCAACGTTGTCCCCAAAGTTTCTGAGACTGTCCTCAATTCTTTTTATTCTGTTTTCTTCATTCTGCTCCCTGTCAGTTATTTCCACCATTTTATCTTCCAGGTCACTTATCCGTTCTGCTGCCTCAGTTACTCTGTTACTGATTCCTTCTAGAGTATTTTTAATTTTAGTAATTGTGTTGTTCATCACTCTTTGTTTCCTCTTTAGCTCTTCTTGATCCTTGTTAAATGTTTCTTGTATTTTCTTCATTCTGTTTCCGAGATTTTGGATCATCTTTACTATCATCTGTCTGAATTCTTTTCTAGGTAGGTTGCCTATTTCATCTTCATTTATTTGGTCTTGTAGTTTTTTACCTTGCTCCTTCATCTGTAACATATTTTTTTGTCATTTCATTTTTTTTCTTTGATCGGTGGTGGTGTATTCCTGTCTTACTGGTAGTTTGGCCTGAGACATCCAGCACTGGAGTTTGCAGGCAGTTGGATAGAGCTGGGTCTTGGTGCTGAGATGAGGACCTCCAGGAGGCCTCACTCCAATTGATATTCCCTGGGGTCTGAGGTTGTCTGTTAGTCCAGTGGCTTGGACTCGGAATTCCCACCACGGGAACTCGGGCCAAACCTCCAGCCTCGGAACCAAGATCCCACAAGCTTTGTGGTGTGGTAAAAAAAGAAAAAAAAAAGGAAGAAAGAAAGAAAAAAATGAGCAGTACAATATCAACGAATAAAAAATAAAATAAAATTAGAAAGATAAAAATTGTATTAGGAAAAATAAAATTATAATTGAAACAACTGCAACAAGGTAAAATAAAACCACAACAGAAAAAAGAAAAAAAAAAAACAAGGTGGGGGGCAGGGAAGAAGCCAAAAGGAGAGATCACTAACAAAGTATAAAGAATAAAATAAAATTACAAAAATAAAAGAAAAAAATAAAAAAGACTTGGCTATGGGGGTGGAGTTTGGGGGGTGGAACTTAGGCAGGGGCAGGGTTTAGGGTGCGGCAGGACCTAGGCGGGTGGGGAAGTGACATTTGAGCTTGGGGTGGGGCCTAGATGGGGAGACATTCAAGCGTGGGGCAGGGCCTCTGCTTAGGACCTGCACCAAAGGGGAGAGGCAGCACCTGGAAATGAGGGCCTCTGGACTGTGGAGTTCCCGAGTTTGGAGGTAGGGCCCTGGGTGAGGGTGTGTGGGTGGGGTTTAGGCCCAGCTCATTGGAGCGGGTCTCCGAGTATAGAGGTAAGGCCCTGGGTGGGGGTGTGGGGCAGGGCTTGGGCTCCAAGGGAGCCCAAGGGAGGGAGGCTCCAAGGGCAGAGGATTAGGCCTGGGAGCCCAACAGGTGCCCTGGTGCCTAAGTGGACAGGGAAAGCACTGGCCCCTTCCCTTTCATTCCTTCTTGCCCCTCCCCCACCACCTCCCCCAGGGTCTCCCCTGTTCCTGATGGACCCCTAACCATGGGTGGGTCCCATTGGGTGTAGGAACGCCTCCCCTCCCCCAGCCACCCCTCAGAGGTGCCAGTCCCAGAGGTCCGGACTTTACTTTTGCTCCCCCTTCCCTCCCACTCCCTCAGGACCTGCATGGCTGGAGGGGGCCTAGGTGGGCAGAGGATCAGGCCCGGGATCTCAGAAGGTTCCAGGGCCCAAGTGAGCAGGGGAAGCCTGGCCATGCTCCCTTTTGATCCTCTGTCCTCCCAGTGGTTCCCTAATTTCCTCCTTCGGGTGTGGGATCCCTGCCCCTCAGGGGCGCCAGTCCCATCCCGCCTCCACTTCTCCTCCCCCTTCACTCCCCCCATGCCCCATGTCCTACCCGGTGGCTGGGGGTTCCTCCCATCCCGTTAGGTGTCCGTGGTTCCCCACTGGTGCCTGGTAGGTGCCCTAGTTGTGAGGAGATGCGAATTCTGCATCCTCCTAGTATGCCATCTTTTGGACTTCTTTCATGCCTATTTTTAATTAACACTTTGGATTCACTTCACTTTCATGTCATGATCCTCTGAAAGAACATACCTGTGATGAGGGACTCATCTACCATAGAATGTCCTTCAATAACACGCCCATCCACTGGAAATTTGCCTCCTGGAACCACTTTAATGATGTCTCCACGTTGTACAAGTTCCACATCCACTTGCTCTTCACTGGATATGAGTTAAAATAAAAAGCACCATGACAGTATGCTTCTCCCCCTGATCTATCCATGCAAGCTTTTTAGTTGACATCAAGCTTGTGGCCCCATAATTGCTACCAATGGAAGTTAGAACCAACATTTAAGTTAGGAACTACAGTGTCAGTCTTTTTCACTGTTGGGGAATAGCTCAGTAGCTAGCACAAAGAAGCACTCTAAATATTTGTTGAATAGTCATTGAACTAATAAATGAAAGCTTTAGAAAGAATGTAATGGGTTTTACTGAACAAAACAACTAATTTATTGTATACATTTGCCTAAATAATTTTACGAGGAAAGGAATGAGAAATACAAAAGAATGAAATCTAATCAAGTCTTTAGCTCTAACTTCCAGTTTATAGGTAATATAGGAGTTATAGAACAAGTTAAATGATTCCAGATGGAAACAGAGACAAATTTGGACTGTGGGATTTTCTAAAGGACTACTGATAGATGTTTCTTTACCAAGTCAAATGTATGGAGAGGGAGGAGCAGGGAGGAGCAAGGGAGGGAGAACTGGAGAGAGGAGCTGTTCTACATTAAAACAAACATGTCAGGAGAAAGACAAATACTGTATGATGTCACTTATATGTGCAATCTAAAAAATATAACAAACTAGTGAGTACAACAAAAAAGAAGCAGACTCACAGATGTAGAGAAATAACTAGTGGTTACCAGTGGGAAAAGGGAACGGTGAAGAACAATATAGGGTAGAGGATTAAGAGGTAGAAACTACTATGTATAAAATAAATAAGTGACAAGGATATATTGTACAACATGGGGAATATAGCCAATATTTTATAATAGCTATAAATGGAGTATAACCTTTAAAAATTGTGAATCACTACATTGTACACTTGTAACTTATATACTATTGTACATGAACTATAACTCAATTAAAAAATCAAAAAAAAAACCAAACAGGGGCTTCCCTGGTGGTGCAGTGGTTAAGAATCTGCCTGACAATGCAGGGGACATGGGTTTGATCCCTGGTCTGGGAAGATTGCACATGCTGTGGAGCAACTAAGCCCATGCGCCACAACTACTGAGCGCCTGCGCTCTAGAGCCCGTGAGCCACAACTACCGAGCCCATGCACCACAACTACTGAAGCCTGTGCACCTAGAGCCCGTGCTCTGCAACAAGAGAAGCCACCACCATGAGAAGCCCGTGCACTGCAGCGAAGAGTAGCCCCCGCTCGCTGAAACCAGAGACAGCCCGCACACAGCAATGAAGACCCAACACAGCCAAAATAAACAAAACAAAAAAACTCAAAACTTAAAACAAACAAACAAACATATCAGTCAAATGCAGTGACACATGGACCTTTTCTGAATTCCATTTCAAACAAAGAAACTTAAAACAGTTTGGAGACAACACGAGAAATGTTAATATGGACTGTGTATTAGATCACATTAAAGAATAATTGTTCATTTTGTTAGATGCAGTATGGGCATTATGATTATATAAGACTATGTCTTTTTTTAGAAATACAACAGGAATATCTGCATTAAAACCATATAACTGGGATTTACTTTAAAATTCAACTGCAACAACAGAAAGAAAAATAGATTGTATAGACAAAGTAAAGTGTGGCAAAATGTGAATAATTGTTAAATCTGGGAGATAGATTATGTGAGTTCATTATACCTTTCTCTCTACTTCTGTGTATATTTGATATTTTTCCTAAGAAGTTAAAAAGAGAAGGAAGAATAATGAAGGTAAATACCTCAAGACGATATTAGCAGAGTCGAGAGTTACAATAGTTGCTTCTGTAGCTTGTAGTGAAATTAGTTTGGCAAGAGCCTCTGATGTTTTGCCCTATAAATTAAAACACATATGTTAACAATGCTAAGGAAGAAAAAGTCTTATGTAAAATAAATGCATAATCTTTAACATTTACTTAAAGGACAGCTTTAGGAATGTTAATTAATTCAAATCAGAAAATGTTTCACGTTGAAAATATGAAGTACACAAAATATAAAATGTATTATTAGGTATAATTTATAAATAAATAATGTAAATTAATAAGAAAAACATCAGAACCCAATAGGTACATGAGCAAAGGACATAAATAGGCAATTCATTTAAGAAGAAATATAATACCTGCTGTGTAGAAAATGTTTATCTCTGCTATTAATGGAAGAAATGCAAACTAAAGCAACTCTATGATACCATTTAATGCCTACTAACTTAGCAAAAATTTAGATAGGAGTCAGTGCTGATGAAGTTGTAGTAAAACTACTTCACTAACATACCCTTGATGGCAAAAATTGTAAGATTAGTAGCATGAGCCATAGAAAGATTTATGCCCTTTAATCATATCCTTTGTAATTTACCCTAAGATAGTAATTCAGTAGAAATAACTATTAAACATGTTTAATGCAGGATTACCTAAAATTAAACTCTGGAAACAATCTAACTGAGAATAAAATCAGAATGGTTTAGTAAATTATAGCACATTGATTTGAGAGAATATTATTCAGAAACACTGAGTAATTACCTAGACTGCAAAAATGGGGAAAAAACTTTAAAGTGTTAAGAGCACAAAGTGGTATGGATACCATGTTTGTCACTCTGTAAAATATAAACGTATGTGGAACAGGATTAGAAAGTGATTTCCGTTATACCATGGGATTGTGGGTGAATTTTTTTCCATCATTATGTTAAATCTGTGGTTGCATCAATTTTTCCATTAATAATGTGATATAAGTAAAATAAGTACTCTTAAATGTCTCTTAAAATAAACAAGGACATGCTGTATTATCTAAAGTATTAATTCCATAAATTTGGTAAATCTTCTAAAGGAATATTTAACCTAAAATACTGCCAAAACAAAAATACTTCTTTTAGTACATCGTTAACTACATAAATCAATGTATATTCCCAATAATTGGTCTATAAAATATTATGGTCATTTACCCACCCAAGATTTTAATAAATGTCACCCTTTCTTACTTTACCTTTGCTACATGTTCCAGCCACCGGCCTAGTGCAATAAACACAAATAGCATAGGAGGTGTGTCAAAGAAAGTAACAGGGTTCACTTTGGCTCTCTCATACATTGCAACCAGAAGAATAACCAAAGAATAAGCAAATGCAATGGTAGTTGCCAGCACAATCAGTACGTCCATATTTGCAGTTTTATGTTTCAGTGCTTTGTAGGCCTGAATGTAGAAGTGCCAGCCTCCAAAAAACTGTAATATAGAAACAGTGATTAGTGCTTTTAAAAAAAGCTGAAATTCACATATATACCGAAATAACTAAGATATAGTATCAATGTTAATTTCCTTTGGCTTTTATTTAATCCATAAACAACTAAGGAGAGATTATTTTTTTGGCTGCACCATGCGGCCTGCAGGATCTTAGTTCCCCAACCAGGGATCGAACCTGGGCCATGGGGAATTCCCCTAAGGAGAGATATTTTTTTTTTTTAAGCTGAAACAATAGTGCTTGTATTTTAGCAGATACGAGTGTGTGTGTGTGTGGGGGGGGTGGATTCAAATTGTTGTACAAGCCCTTGGCAGCTCTCTGCTATGATCCAATGGATATTCCATAATATAAAGAAAGTCAAGTGGTTCTCAGAGTCTTCTTTTTGAAGCCAGCAAAAACAAGAACCAGGAAAAGAATTACATTCTTTTGACAATGATTTTTTATATAAAACTCACCTCCCTCTTTTCAAATTCAACCTATCACAAGCTATTGGATCTGTCCACTGTTTTCGTTAGGAAACATAACCGAAAAGCTTATTGTTCATTAGTATAGAGAAACATATTAAGATGTTTTAAAAATAATTATTGCTTTTTATAAGGATCAGAAAAAGGAATAGATCTACTAGATGGAAGTGCTCCACAGTAAAATTTTATCTCAAAAGAAGAGTTGAAAAGTCCAAAGAAGACATACAGACGGCCAAGAAACACATGAAAAGATTTTCAACATCACTAATTATTTGAGAAATGCATATCAAAACTACAGTGAGGTATCACCTCACAGTGGTCAGAATAGCCATCATCAGAAAATCTGCAAACAGTAAATGCTGGAGCGGCTGTGGAGAAAAGGGAACCCTCTTGCACTGTTGGTGGGAATGTAAATTGATACAGCCACTACGGAGAACAGTACTAAGGTTCCTTAAAAAACTAAAAATAGAATTACCATATGACCCAGCAATCCCACTACTGGGCATATACCCAGAGAAAACCATAATTCAAAAAGACACATGCACCCCAATGTTCATTGAAGCACTATTTACAATAGCCAGGTCATGGAAGCAACCTAAATGGCCACTGACAGACGAATGGGTAAAGAAGATCTGGTACATATATACAATGGAATATTACTCAGCCATAAAAGAGAATGAAATTGGATTATTTGTAGAGACGTGGATGGACCTAGAGACTGTCAAACAGAGTGAAGTAAGTCATAAAAAGAAAAACAAATATCGTATATTAACGCATATATGTGGAATCTAGAAAAATGGTACAGATGAACTAGTTTGCAAGGCAGAAATGGAGACACAGATGTAGAGAACAAACGTATGGACACCAAGGGGGAAAGTGGGGGCCAGGGGAGGATGATGAATTGGGAGATTGGTATTGACATATATACACTAATATGTATAAAATGGATAACTAATAAGAACCTGCTGTATAAAAAAAAGAAATAAAATTAAATTAAAAAAAACATACAAAGAGTAATGAACTTAAGTGCCATGGAGAAATAATATAACTATTATGATTATTTTACAGAATAAATTAATAATATATTAAAATAAAATATATTTATAATATATTTAATATAATTTATATAAAGAGAATTTTAATGCATTTAATATAAAATATAAATATAAAGAAATAAAATATAACATTTTATCAAATTCTTTTGCAACTTAGGTTTTTACAGAATATTGAGCAGATAATGTTATGTGGCAGCCTGGATGGAAGGGGAATCTGGGGGAGAATGAATACATGTATATGTATGGCTGAGTCACTTTGCTGTGCACCTGAAACTATCACAACATCGTTTATCGGCTACACTCCAATATAAAATAAAAAGTTAAAAAAAAAAGAATATTGAGCAGTTCCCTGTGCTATACAGTAGGTCCTTGTTGGCCATTATCCATTTTAAATATAGCAGCATGTACATGTCAATCCCAGACTTCCTACATGCATATGTATAACCGAATCACTTTGTTGTACACCTGAAACTAACACAACATTATTAATCAATTGTACTCCAATATAAAATAAAAACTTAGAAAAAGACAATAAAAATAAAATAAAGTATAACATTTTATTATTATAATAACTTTAAATATAAAGTTACATACAGTAGTAGATATGAATACCAAATTCATAACTGAAGATGAATTGAACTCTTATTCTCTGCTTTGTCATTAAACAGTATCCTTCAGGGTTAAAATGGAATTTATTATTATCTACTTTAACCACTCAGTTTAAGATTATTTTTGTAAAGCATCCAGCATAAAATGATCATACTTCTGGCCAATATTTGTTGTACAATTGAAAATAGCCTCACCTGTCACATTTTGGCTATTTTTCATTATTAACAAATATACTTGCTAACATTTCACTTGCCTGTACAGGTACACACAATAAAAAAGATAGCAAATTCATAATGGACAATCCTGGCAGGATCTGGCGCTCCAGAAACAAAGAAGAATGAATGCTAATCATTTCTTCTTGGCTCATGTTCTGATTATGGTGAAGAGTTGCAAGGTGGTGGTCCATAACCATCATATATATCATCAGCCCCATTACAGGAATACAGAAAAACAGGCTCACAAGAAAGGCCCGTCGCCATCTAATATAGAAAAGAAAAATCATTTGAGTAAATAGGTAATGGTTAAAGATTCTATGTACTATAAGGAAATAAAACTTGTGACCAATTCCCACCCAGTGTAAGGATGATATTGAAAAAACTGACATGCTAACAGTTTATTAAATTTGTGAAGAGGAATCAAAATCTGTTTTTCACTGACATTCCAAAAGTACTTACTGTCTTATCTCTCGTTTATGGTCTAGGTGGCTTGCTGACCGGTCCTTCTTGACCAAAGAAGCTTCAAAACCTAAGCTCTAAGGAAATTCATGAGAAAACAATTATTTCACTGAATGTATAAATATTACCTACAGAAATTCTAAGCTGTGGTATTGTCATTAAGAACAACTCAATTCAGTTACTAAGTGCAAGTCATCCTGGGGAATATAAAGATGAAGATGTGCTTCCTTCTCTTAATTACCTTTGTTTCTAATCTTTCATCAAAGAAATGAGTATTCTCTCAACTCTATTTAATGTCTATCCTACTGTTCTCAAACTACTGATTTAACTCAAGTGCAGTTGTCCTCAGTAGAGGTTCTTATATCAAGAAGTCAACTAAAGCCTCCAATAAGTAATTTTGGAAAAAAGCAGAATCTATTACTTGGTCAGGCCGACAGAGTGTATGATGACCTAATAAAGACAGAATTGAGATATATACACTACTATGTATAAAATAGATAACTAATAAGAACCTACTGTATAGCACAGGGAACTCTACTCAATACTCTGTAATGACCTATATGGGAATAGAATCTAAAAAAGAGTGGAGGGCTTCCCTGGTGGCGCAGTGGTTGAGAGTCCGCCTGCCGATGCAGGGGACATGGGTTTGTGTCCTGGTCCGGGAAGATCCCCCATGCCACGGAGCGGCTAGGCCCGTGAGCCATGGCCACTGAGCCTGCACGTCTGGAGCCTGTGCTCCGCAACGGGAGAGGCCACAACAGTGACAGGCCCACGTACCGCAAAAAAAAAAAAAAAAAATAGAGAGAGTGGATATATGTATAACTGATTCACTTTGCTGTACAGCAGAAACTAACACAACATTGTAAAGCAACTATATTCCAATAAAAAGAAGAGAATTCAGCAGTAAAATCATAAATCGTACACTCAGACAAGCATCTACTAGTACTGATGTATATTAATCACTTTTTTTTAAATTTTAGCTTTGACATCTATCAAGTCATTGATCCATCCATCCCCTGAAAGTACAGAAAACTGAATAATAGGCCACAAAAGCTAGCACCATACTAAATATATTATTCAAGGGTTTGCATATGCAGTCTTTATTCTTGTACCCGAAAAAAGAACACGAACGAAAATTTTCCGCAATAAAATAAAGTACTGAAAGAAAATTACACCTAAGTAAGACTCATATGAACATAGAAAGTAACATACACTATATTTCGAACTGCTAGGGAAAATGCTGCCATATTACATTTCTTGGCAGTATAACACAGTGAAAAGAGCAAGCATGAGCATTGGAGTCAGAAAGATTAGGATCAAATCCCAGCTATGACACTTACTACCTATGTGACTGAGAAAGTTAACATCCCATAACCTGAGTTTCCTCACTTCCAAAATGAAGATGACAGCACTGTTGTGAGAATTAAATCAAGAGTTGAAGCTTTGCAATTTTGGTAACTGGCACATAATAGATACTCAATAATGCTAGCTTCACAAAGATGTTAATGGTATTACTATCTACATTAACAGGATCTTACCTGAATGATTAATATGCTTTTTACATCATTAGAACACCAATGCTAGACCACAGTGAAACTTCTAAAGCACTTTAACATGTATTACCACTTAAGATTTACTGAAGACTGCAGGATGAATTTGTCACAGAGAAAAAGGTTTGGTCTTTTAAATTTTACTTTAACTATGATGTCATTTGCTTTGACCTAACAAACAATACAGCATCTAGCAGGATGCTTCATTTTCTTAGTGATTAACATGAATTTTACTCATAACAAATTGTACTTTGCTTACATTTTCTAAATATTTTTAAATGATCTGTGGTTCTGCCTTAAGTCTGCTCCTGATTAATAGTGCCAATGTGCCTTTACCTAATTCTTCCTGATGAAGACCAAAAAAAAAAAAAAAAGGCAGACACTCTTACATTAAATTTTGAGACAGACATTGTCTGTAGAGGTAAACAAAGGAATCAGATTTTTCTCATCATCTCTATCTGATACAAACCAGACGTGATTCAAGGGAGTGCTGACTAGATAGGTAAGAACACAGAAATGCAAAGTCTTGGCACTTACTTCAATTGTATGAATAATATCTCTGGGACCAATAATTTCTGGATCATATTTAATATGTGCTTTATTGGTTGCCAGGGCCACAGAGCAGTAGAAGATCCCTCCATGTTTTGTGAGGGTAGACTCTATTTTATGTACACAGGAGGCACATGTCATTCCTCTCACCTGTTAAAGACAAAGGCTTTGTTACTCAGAAATATACTTTTTTCCTCCATTAAATGTGTGTTATTACTTTAAACTAAAAGAACTCTTGTAACAAGGGATTAACACACAAGATCTTATCTGCACTATTAATATGCTTTAGATTATGATCATTAGATCACTGTTTTTACATCACATTGAACAAAGATATGGTCCCAGCTGCAACATTAAGGATCTCATTAAGTCTCCCTCTTCCTGTTATTACTCAGTGATAGAGGCTTTGACAACTATCATTGCTTCTTGTATTCAATGCCTTGCTTCCGTCTAGATTTTTTTCACCCTGCTAAAGTATATAAGTATGTATGTGTGTGTGTGTGTGTGTGTGTGTGTGTATATATATATATATATATATATATATATATATATATATTATTTAGTATTACTTCTAGTGAAGGTTAATGGATAACAAAAGTGTTCTACCTTTGTCCAAAAATGTATTTTGCCCTATGTCTTTGAGTGAGGTTATACTTTAGTTGGGTATTAAATTCTAAAATGGAGGGGCAGGACTTCTGGAATGACTGTGTGAGAAGCTCAGCAAATCCTTTCCCCAAAGAGCAATGATATAACTGGACAAAAGTTTCAAAAGCCAACCACTGAAAGATTATGGGAAGTAACCAAAAAGAGTACACAACAAATTACAAAGTACTTATTCAAGAATATCCACCAAAAGAATATCATTAATAGTGGAGTGAGGATTTCTGAAAATTCTCTCCTCCACAAAAGCAATTAGAAAACTGGCAAAAGTTGTTGGAACCACCTTTTTCAGAAAAGTTGGAAAAAAGGGAACCCTTGTACACTGTTGGTGGGAATGTAAATTGCTGCAGCCACTATAGAAAATGATATGGATGTTCCTCAAAAAACTGAAAATAGAACTACCATATGACCCAGCAATTCCACTCCTGTGTATATATCCAAAGAAAGCAAAAACACTAATTAAAATGATAACATGTACCTCAATGCTCATAGCAGCATTATTTATAATAGCCAAGATATGGAAGCAACCTAAGTTCCATCAATAGATGAATGGATAAAGTAGATGTGATACACACACACACACACACACACACACACACACACACACACACACACAATGGAATACTACTCAGCTATAAAAAAGAATGAAATTTTGCCATTTGCAACAACATGGATAGACTTGGAGGGTATTATACTTAGTGAAATAAGTCAGACAGAGAAAGACAAATACTGTATCTTATCATCTATATGTGGAATCTAAACAATAAAACAAAGAAATGAATATAATAAACAGAAACCTACACATAGAGAACAAGCTAGTGGTTACCAATGGGGAAAGGGAAAAGGGTTGGGGCAAGATAGGGGTAGGGATTAAAAGGTACAAACTACTATGTACAAAATAAATAAGCTATGAGGATATATTGTACAGAACAGGATATACAGCCAATATTTTACAATAACTTTAAATGGAGTATAATCTGTAAGAATTTTGAATCACGATGCTGTACACCTGAAAGTAATATTGTAAATCATCTACACCTCAATTTAAAAAACTGATTAAAAAAGAAATCTGAAAATTAAACAAAAGCTTTCAGCAATGCAGGAAGCAGTTATTCAAGAAAATCAGATAAATTCCAATAAAACAGCAAGCTATATGGCATTATAGTTTGCCATATTCCCATCCCCTCTCCTCCAGCTCTGGGGTAGCCATGAAGACTGACAGGCCACAATCATGGTGAAAAACAGCATCAGGGAAGCTACCAGAGAGGACAGAAAAGGATTGGAGTACCTTCAAAGCCTCATTCCCAGACAACTGTCATTATTTGGCCTGTCTGATGGTTCTCTGAAATATCCCACTTGCAAAGGTGTCTGTTTGTCCTGATGACCCAGTGAATACAAAAAGGCTTTCCCCAGGAGAATTTGTCAGAAACAATTAGAGGAAATTATTTAACCTTGTGGCTGCCTGAGCCAATGGATAACAGTTAGGGCAAACAACAGACTAACAAAAAAGCCTAAAAAGGAAAGCCAGGAAGCAAGATGTCCATAAGTGCTGCAACATATTCCTAGGAATCTAGAAGGCCATGCACATGCATAGGGTTATGCACATGTCCAGGGCTGTGTGTATGTTCAAAAAAGAACTGAAAAGGCCCTAAATTCTCACCTCAGGCTGACCTTTAGGCTCCATAGAAGCAGGAGTCGAAGGGTAAGGCAAAACTGACAACTGCATGGCTTAGTGTTCAAGGCATGCCCCAACATTTACAAAGAGCTCTTTAGCAAAGACTGGGAGACTTATTGGTTCCAGATATTTAAGGCAATCACTGTCTGATCATTAGCTGACAACTGAGCTAACCAAACAGAGATTTCAGTGGCCACACACAACAAAGAACACAGACTTTATAGAATTAGTTCAGAAGTCACTGAACAAACAATAACAATGACAAACAGCAACAAATAACAAACCCTGAGGAGAGGGGAAGAATCTTATTTCCAGAGTTACTACATTATATTTTCAACAAAATCTGTCAGACATACAATGAAACAAGAAAGTATGGCCTATACACAGGAAAAAACTTTCCCTGATGAAACCCAGACATTGGATTTACTAGGCAAAGATCTTGAATCAGCTATTTTAAATATATTCACTGAACTAAAGGAAATGATGTTTAAAGAATTAAAGGAAAGTATGAGACAATATCCCACCAAACAGAGAGTATCAATAAAGACAGAGAGATTATTAGAAAGGTCCAATGGAAGTTTGGAGTTGAAAAGTACAATAACTGAAATGAAATCAGTGCCTATAGGGAAATTTATAAGTGCCAATATTTTAAAGTAAGAAAGATCTCAAATAAATAACCTGACTTTCTACCTTAAGACACTAGAAAAAGTAAAACAAACTAAACCTAAAGCAAACAGATGGAAGGAAATAACAAAGATTAGAGTGAAAATTAACAAAAGAGAACAGAGAAAATCAACAAAACCAAAAGTTGGTTACTTGAAAAGACTGACAAAATTGACAAACTTTTGGCTGGAGTGATGAAGGAAAAAAAAAAAAGACTCAAATGATTAATATCAAGAATGAGGACTGACTGCTAATAGGTATGGGGTTTCTTTTTTGGGGTGATGAAAATGTTTTCAAATTTGATAGTGGTGATTAGTTGTACAGCTCTGAGAATATATTAAAAACCACTGAATTGTACACTTTAAAAGGGTGAGTTTTATGGTATGTAAACTATATTTCTATAAAGCTATTAATTTTTAGAAGTCTTTAAAAAGTACAAACCAACCCATTCTTTTTAATAGCTGCTTAGTATCCCATGGTATGGATGTATGTATCGGTCTCCAATGACCGACATTTAGTTTGTTTCCTATCTTTTGCTATTATAAAAATACTATAATAGGACTTCCCTGGTGGTCCAGTGGTTAAGACTCCACGCTTCCAATGCAGGGGGCGCAGGTTCGATTCCTGGTCGGGGAACTAAGATCCCACATGCCATGTGTGGCATAGGCAAAAAAAAAAAAATACTATAATGAACATCTTTGCACACATATCACTTCATACATATCCAAATATGTCTGCTGGATAATTTCCTACAAGTGGAGCTTCTGAGGCAAAGGCTATGTGCAATTTTACTTTTGATAGATATTGCTAAATTCTTCAGTTGAGTCCTTGTCTCAATTGACATTCCACCAGCAATATATGAGAGATCAAACACAGTGTTAACAAAATTGCTTTTTTTTTTTTTTTTGTGGTATGTGGGCCTCTCACTGTTGTGGCCTCTCCCGTTGCAGGGCACAGGCTCCGGATGCGCAGGCTCAGCGGCCATGGCTCACGGGCTCAGCCGCTCCGTGGCATGTGGGATCCTCCCGGACCAGGGCACAAACCCGCGTCTCCTGCATCGGCAGGCGGACTCTCAACCACTGCGCCACCAGGGAAGCCCCAAAATTGCTTTTTATCTTTACCAATCTCACAGGTAGAAAATGGCATTTCAGTGCAGTTTTAATTTGCTTTACTCTTATTAAAAGTGACATCAAACATTTTTTCATTTAAAGAGGTACTGTTTTGGCTTTTCTGTGAACTGTTAGTTCATATCCTTTACCATCTTTCTTTTGGTTTGATGGCTCTTATTGATTTACAACACTTCTTCATATATTAAGGAAATTAACCTTCATTTATGATATGAATTACAATTATTTTACTTGCCTTTTGACTTTGTTTATGGTGTTTTTCTCCCAAGAAGAAATTTTTATGTACCTGAAGTTATCAACCTTGTCTTTTATGGATTTTGTATGATATTTAGAAAGACTCTTCCTACTCTAATATTATTTTTTAAATGACAGATTGGATGTTATCACTGGGAAAAGCTAGGTAGAGGCTACAGGGAAATCCTCTGTACTATTTTTGTAATTTCTTTGTGAGTTTAAAATTATTTCCACAATGGACTGATGGACTGATGTATGATAAAACAAATACAGTAAAATGTTAATTGTAGAATCTATGCAGTGTGTGTAAGAATGTTCAACTGTACAATTCTTTTGTCTTTCCTGATGTCTGAAATTTTTAAAACAGAATATTGGAAAAAGCTCCAAATATTTCTTCTAGTAATTTCATGTAGGAATCATACTATATTTTAAAAGTTGATTTTCATTTATTCATTCAAACCCAATTCTTGTTTATTGGTTCTTAATAGAGATGATTATCTTTTTTTTTTTTTGTGGTACATGGGCCTCTCACTGTTGTGGCCTCTCCCGTTGTGGAGCACAGGCTCCGGATGCACAGGTCCAGCGGCCATGGCTCACGGGCCTAACTGCTCTGCGGCATGTGGGATCTTCCCAGACCGGGGCACGAACCCGTGTCCCCTGCATTGGCAGGCGGACTCTCAACCAGTGTGCCACCAGGGAAGCCCGAGATGATTATCTTTTACATTCTATGCTTGAAGGCCACCATTGTCATATCTTTCCAGTTTCCTTAATTTTCATTTTATGTTTTATTGTCCCCACATTTTAATTATCTTTCAAACTCTTTTCTGAATTCTTGCCAAGTTTTTCCTGCAAATTCTATTAACCACACAAAATGTCTTACTTACAACAAGTTCCAAAACACCATCCCCTTCATCAGCATTTTCTATCACAGTGGCTCCAAATCCAAGCTCTCGGATTAACTCGGCTATCATCGGGGGTTGTATGACAGCAGGGTTATATCTTACTTCTGCCTTCCCAGCCATCAGAGCCACAAGTACAGAATATATTCCTAGGAATATTGATAAGAAAAAAAATTCAGATAACATTTCTCATAAAAATAATAATCTTATAATAGTTTTTTTTTCATTTAACTGTGAAAGGATTAAGTGAATCCGGAGAAATTTATTTTTTAACTTTTATACAGTATTGAACCAAAATCAAATAAAACTATTTGAAAAGAAGGCCTCATTTTTAAAAACTTTTTAGTATGGAAATTTTCAAATAGACACACACACACACACACACACACACACACACACACACAAAAGAGAAAACAACATAATAAATTTGATGTACCCATCTCTCAGCTTCAGTAATTATCAGTAAAACTGGGCTGCTTTTGTTTCATATATATTCCTACCCACTCACTCTCTGCCATTTACCCTGATTATTTTGAAGCAAATCCCAGATATAGTATCATATGTAAATATTTAAATACATATCACTAAAAGGTAAGACTCTTTTCTTTAAAAAAGAACCATAATACCATTATCAAACCTAAAATAATTCCTCAATATCATCAAATATCCAGGCAATGTTCACATTTCCACAACTGTCTTACAACTGTTTAACACTGTTTATTTGTTTGCTTGAATTGGGAAACAAATAATGCCCATGAACTGTAATCGATTGAGACCTTATCATGTAAATATAAAGTATTTTTAGAAACTCATAAGACAGAGTCCTAGAGAAAGGAACTCGTGTACTTAGGAAATGACTGCAGTTGTAGCAAAGAACCCAAGAATATACCAACATACACATTACAATATTGCCAAATAACAGTAATTTCTTTCTCAAGTTTTATTGTCTGACACACACTAATCTAAAATGCTCTTATTCCTAAGAAAAAAAAAGTGCCACATAACTTAACAAAAAAGTTCATTTTATGGCAGTCATGCTGTTTTCTGGTGTAAGCATTTTGTTAACAACCATTCCACTTCTCTAGGCCAGCTATTGCTGTAACTGCCAGGAAGAAAATTAATAACGTGAAGCAGAAACGGCAGTTCTTTCTAGGAATCAGCAACCCTTGGTGGCTACCTGACAGGGAATAGGGATCAACAGTCCATAGGTTAGCTCTGGGTTTTGAAAAAAAGAAAAAATATCCAAATATTAATTTAATAATAGTTTTTAATAAGAAGACAAAGTATCTAATATAATCTAAGTTTTCTGTATAAAAGTGGTTAAAAAATAAAATAAAATACTACTCTTTTCTTTGGAAAAAAATAATGGTTACACACTGGGTTTTATGGGTACCAAATAATTCAGAAGATCAGATCACAGGAAAGTATCAGAAATAAGAGAAGGGTGTAGAGAAAGTAGGAAAAAAATCTTCTTGCTTCAGTTGAATGTAATCTACAGCCAAAGAGAAAGAGAAAATCTGTTTTTTTAAGTTTCAAAAACATGTTTCATACTTACATAAATTATGGAAAAATTTTAAAATTCTTACTTCAAAATATAATGAGAACTCTATCAATTCATTTTTAAAAATATAATGCAGATGAAACTGAGGGAAGAACAGTGCCACTTAATTAAAAAAACAAAAGTGAATGTAGTGACCCCAGCTAGGGCAATGGTATGCCTAACTGGGTTAGGAGGAAGTAACAGGGTAGTAGAAGGTAACTGGAAGTATCAGCTTAATGCATTAAAGAAGAAAAAAGATCTGTACCTGTAATTTGTAACAGGCATTGTTTGTCTCATGAGAAAGGCTATTTCTGAACTGCCCCAAAAGAGTTTGTTCTAAAATTAAACAGACTCCTTGAAAACTTCTTTTTGCTTTCATTTGCTTGCAACTTCCCTCCTGTTCTTTTTTAATCACTCAAAGTGTAATTTAGCCCTGACTGCATTATAATTAGATATAATGGAGGCTGAAATCAAGGATGCAGAAATGACAGAATGCAAACAAGATGATACTGAACTGAAGATGGCTCTAGTGTATAACATACATTTTGTTACAATAATGTTCCGGCCTTTACATATAAGGTGATTCCACTGGCTACAGAATTCCATTATTACAGTACATACTTTGAGTTATTTCCCCAATAGTGGGGATAAGCTTATAATAATCATATTTATTCAGCCCTTCTGACTAACAGCATGTATCATTTAGACATCTTGGGCGAGGGCTGCTTGAGTACCAAACCTATGACTTCAGGCTCATACTCACATATCTCTATGGTTAACAAATCTACTATGCATACTGCGAAGTCCATTAATGTGAGTGCAAAATTTTAAGCTAAAACATCTGAGTGTGACTGATTAAAAAACAATATTGTAGAATGGCTTGAAGATGGTGGACTAGAAGGACCTGCCCTCACTCCCTCTTGTGAAAGCACCAGAATCACAACTAACTGCTGAACAATCATCGACAGGAAGACACGGGAACTCACCAAAAAGATACCCCACATCCAAAGACAAAGGAGAAGCCACAATGAGACAGTAGGAGGGGCACAATCACAATAAAATCAAATACCATAACTGCTGGGTGGGTGACTCACAAACTGGAGAACACTTATACCACAGAAGTCCACCCACTGGAGTGAAGGTTCTGAGCCCCACGTCAGGCTTCCCATCCTGGGGGTCCGGCAACGGGAAGAGGAATTCCTTGAGAATCAGACTTTGAAGGCTGGTGGGATTTGTTTGCAGGACTTTGACAGGACTGGGGGAAACAGAGACTCCACCCTTGGAAGGCACACACAAAATAGTGTGTGCATCGGGACCCAGGGGAAGGAGCAGTGAACCCATAGGAGACTGAACCAGACCTATCTGCTACTGTTGAAGGGTCTCCTGCAGGGGCAGGGGGTGGCTGTGTCTCACAGTGAGGACAAGGACACTGGCAGCAGAAGTTCTGGGAAGTGATGCTTGGTGTGAGCCCTAGCAGAGTCCGCCATAGCTCCCACCAAAGAGCCTGGTAGGCTCGAGGGTTGGGTCGCCTCAGGCCAAACAACCAACTGGGAGGGAATGAAGCCCCACCCATCAATAGACAAGGGAATTAATGTTTAACTGAGCTCTGCCCACCACAGCAACACCCAGCTCTACCCACCACCACTCCCTCCCATCAGGAAACTTGCTCAAGCCTCTTAGATAGCCTCATCCACCAGAGGGCAGACAACAGAAGCAAGAAGAACTACAATCCTGCAGCCTGTGGAACAAAAACCACATTCACAGAAACACAGACAAGATGAAAAGGCAAAGGACTATGTACCAGATGAAGGAACAAGATAAAACCCCAGAAAAACAACTAAATGAAGTGGAGATAGGCAACCTTCCAGAAAAAGAATTCAAAATAACGATAGTGAAGATGATCCATGATCTTGGAAAAAGAATGGAGGCACAGATCGAGAAGACACAAGAAATGTTTAACATACACCTAGAAGAATTAAAGAACAAACAAAGATGAACAATACAATAACTGAAATGAAAATTACACTAGAAGGAATCAATAGCAGAATAACTGAGGCAGAAGAACAGATAAGTGACCTGGAGGACAGAAGGATGGAAATCACTGCCGTGGAACAGAGTAAAGAAAAAAGAATGAAAAGAAATGAAGACAGCCTAAGAGACTTCTGGGACAACATTAAGCTCAACAACATTTGCATTACAGGGGTCCCAGAAGGAGAAGAAAGAGAGAAGGACCCAAGAAAATATTTGAAGAGATTATAGTCAAAAACATTCCTAACATGGGAAAGGAAAGAGCCACCCAAGTCCAGGAAGCACAGACAGTCCCATACAGGATAAACCCAAAGAGAAACATGCCAAGACACATAGTAATCAAACTATCAAAAGTTAAAGACAAAGAAAAATTATTGAAAGCAGCAAGGGGAAAATGACAAATAACATACAAGGGAACTCCCATAAGGAAAACAGCTGATTGCTCAGCAGAAACTCTACAAGCCAGAAGGGAGTGGCATGATATACTTAAAGTGATGAAAGGGAAAAACCTACAACCAAGATTACTCTACCCAGCAAGGATCTCATTCAGATTGGATGGAGAAATCAAAAGCTTTACAGACAAGCAAAAGCTAAGAGAATTCAGCACCACCAAACCAGCTCTACAACAAATGCTAAAGGAAATTCTCTAAGTGGGAACCACAAGAGAAGAAAAGGACCTACAAAAACAAACCAGAATGATTAAGAAAATGGTAAAAGGAACATACATATTGATAATTACCTTAAACGTGAATGGATTAAACGCTCCAACCAAAAGACACAGGCTCATTGAATGGATACAAAAACAAGACCCATATATATGCTGTCTACAAGAGACCCACTTCAGACCTAGGGACACATACAGACTGAAAGTGAGGGGATGGAAAAAGATATTCCATGCAAATGGATACCAAAAGAAAGCTGGAGTAGCAATACTCATATCAGATAAAACAGACTTTAAAGTAAAGAAATGTTACAAGACACAAGGAAGGACACTACATAATGATCAATAAATCAAACCAAGGAGAAGACATAACAATTATAAATATATATGCACCCAACATAGGAACACCTCAATACATAAGGCAACTGCTAACAGCCAAAGAAGAGGAAATTAACAGTAACATTCTAATAGTGGGGGACTTTAACACCTCACTTACACCAATGGACAGATCATCCAAACAGAAAATTAATAAGGAAACAGAAACTTTAAATGACACAATAGACCAGATACATTTAATTGATATTTATAGGACACTGCATCCAAAAACAGCAGATTACACTTTCTTCTCAAGTGCACATGGAACATACTCCAGGATTGACCACATCTTGGGTCACAAATCAAGCCTCAGTAAATTTAAGAAAACTGAAATAATATCAAGCATCTTTTCTGACCACCACCCTATGAGATTAGAAATGAATTACAGGGAAAAAAACGTAAAAAATAAAAACACATGGAGGGTAAACAATATGTTACTAACTAAGAGATCACTGAAGAAATCAAACAGGAAACCAAAAAATACCTAGAGACAAATGACAATGAAAACACGACGACCCAAAACCTATGGGATGCAGCAAAAGCAGTTCTACAAGGGAAGTTTATAGCTATACAAGCCTACCTCAAGAAACAAGAAAAATCTCAAATAAACAAT